ATTGTGTGTTACGTCCGTGTGATATTCAGAGATTGGGATGATGGGTTGCTATTGTGTCATGGCCACATGGTATTTAATAATGCACAACTGTCTTGTCGGGGGAAGGGGTGACATCAGGTGCGTTCATAGTGTGAGTGTAGTCTGATGTTCGCAACTACGATGGTACGTACTTCTCCGCTCAGAGGCAACGCAAAAGACTTCTGCTTGATTATTTCTTACTTGCCCCTCCAGATAGGTGACGGCATGGCACGTTCATTGAACGGTATATAGAAAACACATTGAATCTACTTATAGATTTACTATGGCTATAAATAGAACTAACCGTTCCGGAAACCAAGTGCGCATTGTTGTTGACACCATTGACACTGTTGTACTCGTTGACATTGGCCATGCTCAGCGTTTCGTATGAATCGTAGTGTTCCTCCTGTTCTCGACGCGCTCGGATTTTCGCACGGAATACCTGAGAGTAGGTAGAGTAAACGGATATAAATAGATTGCCATAGAATTGAAATGTCATATTGATTGTAGTAGTCCTCTTGTTTTTGGCGGACTGGCATGTGTGTACGGAATGCGTGAGAGTAGATGGGTATATATCAATTGGTCAGCCAAGAGAGATATAGTGCGTGAAAGTAAATCCCTGAGGGTATGTGATAAACATAAACATATATATATATATATATATAATATCCAGACTGAATGCGTTACGCCGTGCATACACCAAGCTCAACCTGCTCGTACTTACCGAAGACATAATTCTATAAATAAATTCATCAAGCGAGGCTAAAAATACTTAGTCTAAAAATAGATTGCACCGATACATCGGGACAAGCGGGGGTGACCACAGTCACAGATAACACACACCTGCAACACAGCTTTGGCAATGGTCTGTTCACGCAGGAACTTCTCCGTGTTGTTCATAATGGCCGATAGTGCACCAGCCTTCACCTCTGAATCCTGAGCGTAGTGACACACCAACCGCAGACTCTCATTGCACATGTTACGCTGAGTGATGTCAAGCCATCTGCGGAAGTGTTGTAGGGTGAATATGGGTATGGGTATGGGTATGGGTATGGGTATGGGTATGGGTATGGGTATGGGTATGGGTATGGGTATGGGTATGGGTATGGGTATGGGTATGGGTATGGGTATGGGTATGGGTATGGGTATGGGTATGGGTATGGGTATGGGTATGGGTATGGGTATGGGTATGGGTATGGGTATGGGTATGGGTATGGGTATGGGTA